GGGGCCCCTCAGCCTTTGGTTCATAGTTCATGTGTTTCCATTCATTTGGTTATTTGTCTAAGGGGCAAATTTATTATAAAACATTAATAAATAGCTTGTAAGAGATTTATTTTGTATTTTCACTAAATTGTGTTTATGTGATCTACAAAGAAGGAGAAGAGATTCTGTATGTGTGGTTATTTACAAGCAAAGCATTTGATGTAATGAGGAACTTAAACATCCCAATTTGAGATTTGGACCTAGTCCAATTAATTGAATCCTACAGGAACCCTTTTGTGAACCAAAAGTATTGAGTATTTTCAATGCGTCATTGTTTTTCTAGCATGAGATATTTTATTTCTTTTAATTTCTATTTTGAAAGTGTATTTTCTTGTCTTAATTAAACATAAACTCTTGCTGTCATTGATCACATTGACTACTTCAGTTTGATACCACAGTATCTGTCATGCTAAATATACAGTGCCTTAATGTGTATGGTTTGGTTAATAGAGAGCTAATCATTTCTAATCATCATATCTTCTTTTATAAAATTTGGATTAATGGTTTATAATCATGATTTAAAAATAATCTATGTATATGATGTATTGTAAGTCTTCAGTTTTAAAACTGAAAAAGGACACATCATTAGCACACTTAAGACTTACACTTATGTATGTATTTTGAGTATCAATTGAAATTTAATTGTTATTATTTTATCCTATTTAAATGGGTTTAAAGATAAATGAGAATATGGAGAACTGGGAAGGACATTGGTGTAGAGGACATTCACTACCATGAGTTCTGGTGTGTTGCCAAAACCTCAGATGCATGATCTTCTGGCCAAATGCCTGCAGGTTCACATTGTTGGCACATTCATTGTGGCCCTGGGAGTTACTGCTTCCTGTAAGTTTGGCACGTCTGAACCCAGAAAGAAGGCGTATGCAAATTTCTACAGGAATTACAACTCCATGGAGGACTTTGAAGAGATGAGGAAGGCTGGTATCTTCTAGAGTGGGAAGCAACTTCAGAATGGATAGAATTTTTTGGATTGCACTCGATAGAAGTTCATTGCTGACCTTTGTTCCTGAACTATGAAGCATGAATATGTGAGCTAAGGAGTAGTTTACCTCAATTAAACAATTAACAATTATATGGACAAAAAGAACATATATGAGAATATAAACACGTTAATTTAGTCTCTTAAATTTTCAAAAAATAAGAGACAATGTAAGCGATATGTAACTATAAATTTTTTAAATAAAAAGGCTTTGGTATTATGCTAATAATTATTCAGTGTGTAATTTAGATACCTTTAAACAGTGAAAACGTCTGTATTTTCATGTTAAATTGATTTTTTTCCTTAAAAACGACTAGTCTTTCTTAAAATTGTTAATTATCAGACTACTAGAGAATATTATATTGTAGATCTTTTTTTTTGTATCTAGGATGGATTCATTGGGAGTATGTATAAATTTCATTGTTTAGCTGCCCTATTTTCTGTGTTATTTCTTGATAACTTTTTCTCCTGTTACTATTATCTAGTTAAGTGTATTCAGTCTTTTGACTAGTCTCTCTTTTTATAGGTCTCACTTTTCTATTTTATTAATAAATTTTGTTCTTTGGCAATTTTGTTCATGTCTATAATTTATTGTGGTTATTTCTCCCCCTTATTTCTCTCCCACACTTGCTACACTCCTTCACCCTAGCAAATCCATTCACCATATTAATTACTTTTTGTTTTATTTTATGTTCCACAGACTTTAATTAGGGTCACCCAGGTGACCCTGTCTTTGGAACTACCTATTAGAGCCTGGTGTGCTCTCTCGTGGGAATACAACAGGATACTCTGCCATCTCTTCTTCATGAACCTGTTAGCTGCTAATAAGTCAGAAATAAGTGATAGGGCCCAGTGAGCTCCTTCCCTCCAACAGCTGATTGCTACAAGGCCTTTATTTGTGTGGATCCATAGCCAATAGCATAACTACTGTAAGTTCATTAATTCCATGGCATTGCCATGCTTAGGAGACAGCATTTTGCCATCCTTCTCCTTATCTTTCAATTCCCACATTCTTCCCACTCTCTTCTGCAATACTCCCTGGGCCTTAAGGGAGTGGTACTTCTTGTTCAGGGCTGCCCTTTATTTTCAGCATCTTGTTTAACCAGGGATCTTTGTATTCACCCCTGACTCATGCTGAGAAGCTTCTCTAATTTGGGCTGAGAGTTGCCTTTTTATGTGGGCATACACGTATACTCAAGGTTGTTTGGGGATATGTCAATTTAGCTAAGCCAGTATTAGGTTCATCCCTAGGAGCTAAGTCTTTGGTCATGGGTTTTTAGAATAGGTTTACCTCACTGGGCAGGGATTCCCTTTTATACAGCAGGCCTCAAATAGAAGAAGGGAGTGGTTGTTGTCTCCTGTAACTCTTAAACCACTATTGTAGCAATGGACTCATTTCCCTTGGCAGATAGGTATTGAATTTCATAGAGTTTACATTTTGGTAGAACCATGATGTCTTTACACCCTCTTCACCCATCCAGCACTATGAAAGCTATCAAACTGTAAACTATGTGGTGTCTTATCAACTAATTCTTTCAAATAATTAGTGGAATGGCAAGAGTCTGTACTGCTTTGGCAGTTTCTGGAACACCAGTTACCAATAACTTCTCTGAATATATCCCATATAGCCCACTAACAGTTTTGTTTAGTGATCTATTACTTCTAGGAATGGCTTTGTATAGGCTCATTGAGTGTCTGCCTTCAAACACCTTGTCATGTCTTTTGATTAGGTTGCCAGATAGTAGGCAAATATCTTATTGGGTGATTCTGTTTTAGCTTACCAGGGCTCCTCCCTTCCATAATATATTCATAACTTCTGATTGGCTTTCTCATACCCTCACCTCACTGATTAACCCTTCATTAGCTACGTTTCCCAGTTCTCCTACCTCCACCCCTCGCCCTGTTGGAACATTTCTACTCTCAATATTCCTCTATCCTCATTTTACCTATGGACCCTTATCCATCCTCATTGAAGGCAACACTTACCCTGCTGTTCCCTTTCTAGTTTCCCAGCTTCTAGAAATATCCCAAGTTAAACACACAATACTGAAAAGTTGAGTCTAGAATTCGCATACAAAAGAAACGTAAGACATTTCTGGTCCTAGGTTCCCTTGCTCAGTATAATTTTCCCAATTCCATTGATTTATCTGTAAACCCCATAATGTCATTTTTCTTTATAACTGAATACAATCCCACTAATGTACGTGTACTACATTTTTCATTATCTGTTTGTTACTTGATAGACATCTCAATATTTTGAGACCAGGTCCTCCTATGCAGCCCAAACTGGCCTCAGATTAGTGGACCCCATGCCTCAGCATTACAGAAATAAATGAACACACACACACACACACACACACACACACACACACACACACACACACACCACATGTGTATTGTATGCATATGGATGTACTCGCTCATTCTAATGTCTGTGTAGGGCAGAATTTCACATTGGTTATCTTATCTATCTTTTTTTTATCTAGTTTTTTGAGACAGAGTCTCTCACTGAATGTGAGCTCACTGACTTGCTAGATAGGCTGGCCATCAAACTCTGGGGATCCACTTGTCTCCACCTGTCCCCCAACCCCAACCCAGCATTTGTTTATATGTGTGTGCTTGCAGTCATGGCCAGCTTTTAAGCAGATGCTGGGAATGTAAACTCAGGCCCTCCATTTATGCAACAAGCACTTTCTTCACCGAGCTGTGTCATCAGCCCCAGAGGAATAGTTTTTATGACAGTGTTGTTTTTATGTTTCTTTATAGATACCTCATTGGTGATTTTGTCTTAGCCTACGACGGCTTCTTCCTCCCATAATTTTTTTCTTTAATTTTGATATGCTACCTTCAGTTTCCTTAAAGATATTAAGCATTTAATTCTTGTTCATTTCTAACCACTCTAGTATCCATAGTTTCTGTGGGATCTTTTTTTGCCATTGCTGAGTCTCTTGGCTGTCATTTGTTCCCTCACATACTCAAATTTTCCCCGTGGATTCGTGTTTGTTGAGACTTTGCCTGCAGGACCTCTTTTCAAGGTTTAAATTATCACTCTCCCAACTGCTCAAAGCACTTGTCTGCTCTTAGGGAACTATTTTGACATGCGATTACTATATTCTCAGTTTGGGGCTTGGAGTTTTGGATCCTGCAAATGTAATCATTATTGTGCTAGGTCCACATGAGGATGACTTGTTGATAAGGAATTTCTGATAACACTTCTTTGTAAGTGTTGTCTAGTTTGGCCTAAATCAAATGACCAGAGGTTTCCTTCATCTCCCTCAGTGAGACGCTTTTTGTAGTTTTTGTACCAAAGTACACTTTTGGGGAATCCTGTATTCATGCAGAGTTTGCTGATACCTATATTTTTTTAAGTTTCTTTCATTATTAAGAATTTGATACATAGACAAGGACATTTGATCATATTGGCCTCCCACTTTCCCCTCCACCTCCTTCCATGTGCTTTCTGACATGTCCCCTTCCCAACTGTATATTTTAAAAAAACAAACAGCAAAACACTAAACACTATTAACATTGCCCTTGATCACCCACCATAAGCACACAGCAAGTCCCCATTGCTGAAGATTATAGATGAAATCAGTCTTAAACTAACCAGGAACTTCCTTCCTGCTGGATCACGTTCACAGCTCGAAAGAAAGCTCTGCAGGCTGCTGAGGGACCAAAGACATCAATGGTCTTACCCTGTGCTGCTGTCTGTTTTCATTCATGGAGGCTGACCTTGTCTTCTGACTGCTATGGTCCCTATTAATGATTGCGAGGGGCACTGAAGATTGGCATATACGGCTATGAAATGCCCTGGCTTACAGAATTACTCTCTTGACTTTGAGCATTCTCATTTATTTCTGATTTTGGTAGAAATTCTTTTTTATCCACTACCATATAAAAAAAAAACACGTTTTCTAAAAGACTTTTTGGTTTATCCAGAACTTTAAAAAGAATCATTCTGATGTACCTTTTCCTGAAAATGGGAAAAATTACCTGTAATCCCATCGCTTGAGAGAGGAAGGCATGAATTCTCATCCACACAGAGAATTTGAGGCTAGTTCAATTATCTGAAATCCTACTGAGAGAGGGGGAGGGGACTAAAGACAGAGACAGAGAGAGAGAGAGAGAGAGAGAGAGAGAGAGAGAGAGAGAGAGAGAGGAGACTGAAAAACAGAGATGAGACAGAGTGTACAAAATAGAGACAAATATTTTGCAATAATTACATGGGCAAATTTTGCTGATTCAAAACAAGATCATTTAACATAAGTATGGACTGTAAATAGTCAAGATACACATCTACACTCTATCAGAAGTAATTTCCCCAAAGTTGACTTTAACTAGACCATTGATAACAAGTTTTAAAAAAAACCTTTTATTGTAGATTATAAACATATTGTTAAAAAATGTCCTTTAGATTATATTAGCACAAGCTATGCTTGGATACCATGAGTTCTACCACTAAAAGTGCTAAATTTTCAAGCCAATACCCTATCATTTTTTAAAATGGGTTTTCTTTGTATTTTACTATTACACTATAAATATCCAAATTTTCTAGGTTAAAAAAAAGATTGTATATTCAGCCAGCTACAAGAGAAAGAAACAAAATAAACCTTAATAAAACCACAAAATGGGCAATTATACCTGTGTTGTCATAGTAAATATTCTTGGTAACTTCTGAACAGAAAATACGTTTGCAACTTAATGTTATATTCAGACTTTTGTTTTAGGGAGGAAACAAATGCTCTGAAGACATCTGTCAGGGATTTAAGTCTATAACCAGGTCTTACCAGATTTACCATGTAATCTGTAGTCGCTGGAAAAGGTTGATTTACCATCTAATCTAAAAGATATTACTCCAGATTTCATACTGCAGCCAGAATTTCATGCATTTTGTGGTGTCCAGAAAATTACTAAGATATGCATGTATTTGTGTGAGAGAACTTTCTGCAGGTTTTTCTACTTATTTTAAAACTCCACATGAAAAGAAATACTCTAGAAAATGGGACCCCATACATTTAGAAACTTGACAGTTTTACATGTGTGCATACTAAGGATATTTATTCACTCTACTCATTATTAACTGTCTCCTTTAAGTTTATTTATTATTATTCGACATATATTCTTTCAAGAAAGATAAATTCCACTTAAGGGCATGAGATAATTAAATTTTGGCTGTTACATAATTATTTGGTATTAATAGTGTGC